ATTTTCAAAAAATAATGAAAAAATACTTTGGTATTTTATCTTAATAATAACATAAACTTATATTGTATTTTTATTAAGTTTATGGCCCTTTTCATTTCGCTATACTGTTTTCCTGCAAAAAAGTAGAGGTACCTATATTAACCTTTATCTTTTTCGCTACACTAGCTATCGGTTAAATATCACGGTAGACTGGTCTCTCTAACCTTGGTTGGTATAAATCTAAAGAAGGAAATATATGAATTCAAGACCGCAATGAAAGTAGCAGAAAAACAATTTTACGATGTTTCTCAATAAGAAAACATAACATAAATAAGAGAAAAAAAATATGTGCAAAATAATAATCACCTTCGCCCAGAAGGATCATGACATTAAAAAGAGAAAACAATATTGAATCTTGTCGCCAAACATTCCATTTTCCTTCTCCTGAGTGATTCTCCTGTCATGAATTGGTTTCTTTTCAATGAGCTGCATTCGCTGGTTCCCAGACTTCATGAATTCAAGCGCCCTACGAGGCTGATTTCCCGCTCTCACCCTTTGACTGCCGAAACTGTTAAATATAGCCGTCTCTTCTACTCCTGTAGCTTCATGTTTAGCACTTCTCGCCTGTGGAACTCCCTTCCCTATTCCAATTTCTCTGAGAGCTATAATCTCTAACTATTCAAATATAATGTCAATCGATATCTCCAGTTGCCTTGATCTATCCACTATCCTTCTCCTCATCCTTTCCTCTATCACTCCTATCTGATCTTGCTCCAAATCTTCTGTAACCCCTTGCGTCATAGTGGCTTTCCGCCTTGCTTAAGGTGAAACGCTTAAAAAAAAAAACCTTCAATACAGTCAGTCAGTTATGTGCTATGCGTGATACACGCTTAGGCCATCATGTAACTTTCGATATATGTCTGACGTGGCAGATTTTTCCCCAGCAGTTGCTCACCGTTTCTTTCTGCGGTATAGCAGTTGTCATCCAACGAAACCCAGTTTATTTATCCATAACTTGGGGTGGGGGAAGATGAGGATTGATATTAGCATGTAAATTAATGTAATGGATTCGACTGGAATGCGAACTCGGATCTCCGCGATTCTTCAATCCGAGCGGCTATCCATTACTCCACCAATGCAGCAACACAAATTATTCAATCAGTCTTCGAAGAAATCTTTTGCGTAAAGAAATCATTCCTGCTTTATTATTATTATTATTATTATTATTATTATTATTATTATTATTATTATTATTACCCATATAGTAATACCCTACTATCTACCTTTCTACTTGCGTAATGTCTGCGTCATGTTCTGAAAGAAAAGAAAAATATCAGTCTCATCTTAATAAGCCCAAGCAGACAAGTGCTTAACTAAAACCGAGACAAAACGCTTACTTTTCCATGTCCTTTTGTCTCCCGGTTTTCCACTTTTCATCAGGTTTATTTTCGTATTCCTCGAGCTTTCTGGCATAATTTCGCCTTTACACATTCTTTCACTCGTAATTTTTCCATTTGCTTTTATTAATTCTGTTATCGAATAAAAACAAACCTGATAGTTATATTATGCGTGTGCGATACTTTTCACTGAACGCACAGATATAACACTGATCGTTGATAAAAATGTTGGAAGGCAACAGTTTCATCTCAGTTAAAGTGTAAGCTACTTTTATCCAAGGCAAATATGGCGTTCTCTAGGTGAATATGCCCGTCATCTTTTACTGGCATTTTGCTAGCTATTGTTAATTTTCAGCTTTTAATCCTGCAACTGATTTACATGTCTTATATTTTAAGACTTTTTGTTGGTTATACAAAGAAACTAAATCACTTCATGAAACTAACTTTTACTAGTAAAATAAAGTGCTAATTTACATGGCCAACTTTCTGTAGATGGAGCAGATTCTATGAACACGATACTTATAAACTGCGCACGCGTACAGACGCAAACGGAAGTGGCTATAAATGAATTGAAAGAAGAACGATGTAAAACATCCAGAAAAATATGTTAAAGGGAGATATTTAAAAAAAAAAAAGGAAAAGAAATGTAACTGTAATGATAAAAACCGTGCAAGTTTCTAAAATTTAGGGAAAGAAAAGATGGCAAGGAAAAGAAAAGAAACGAAGCTAAAAATTAAACGCTAAAACATATGCAATATGAGAAAGAGGAATAAAAAAAAAACAGAAAAATTAAATAAAATAATTTCGAAGCATAATCTTAAGAAAGCAAAGAGAGGCTGAAGCGGAAACAGAAAAGTCTCGTCGCTATCGTAAAAAAAACGAGAGAGAGAGAGAGAGAGAGAGAGAGAGAGAGAGAGAATCTCGGCTGTATCTAAATAGGCATCAACTGAAACCAATAAACGGGAATATCAATATTTTACAAAAAGAAGTAAGAAACGTTTTGCATCGAGGATCGGGGGGGGGAGAGGTAGGCGGGAAAGGAAGAATCAGAATTGGTGAGAGACGAACGCCAGACACCATTCGATTAATACACAACCAAAAATAGATTTTGAACAGCACAGGCA